AAATTCAAAATGTCTAGTTCAAGCACTGTACCCAGTCAACACATAGTATCACATCCTTACTGTGAAGCATGGTGGTGCATTATGTTGTGGAGTTGCCTCTTAACAGAAAGAAATGGGAAACTTGTCACAACTCAGACAATGGATGGAGCAAAGTACAGTACAAAGAGTACAGTACAGAACAATGTACAGTTTAAATCTTTGAAGAAAACCTCTAAGGGTTTCAGTCTGCTAGAGACCTAAAACTGGGATAAACTTTCACTTTTCAGCAGGAGAATGAAGAAGAAACAGAATGTCCTTGAGTGCCTCAGCCAAAGATTCAGAATATAATTCTGTATCCTACTAAGAAACTGCAGAAAGACTTGAAAACTGCTCATAATCTGTTAATAAGCAATAGCCAAGTACTTGAGGGAGCCTGAACAAATCTGCCAAAGAAATCTGGGAATTTGCAAAATATGGTAAACAAAATGATAGTGGTATGCCATCTTTGCATAAGGTTTTGTACTATGTGACCCAAACATAAAGATACGAGAATTTACAAGTTCCGTGTGGACTGTCCATGAGAGGGAAACTGTGAAAACCTTGTTGCCAGCAAAGAGTGGTTTGATAAGTTTAAAAAGCATTACAGTCTACATACAGTAACTGGAAGTTAGGAGGGGAAGTGGGACTAGCTGATGAGGAGGCAATAACTAAGTTTCCTGCTGAACTGAAGATGATTGATTAAAAAGACCTGATCAGGTATTCAGTGCTGATGAAACTGACAGTTTTGGTAGCATATGCCTGATCGATAAATTGTCAGACGCAGCTGGAAAGGGATTACTGTAATTCCTAAAATTAAGTTTAGAGTTTAGTATGAAGAGATAAGCAAATAGGATTCCGGAATTGGAATTCATTGGACATTTGTATAACTTAACCATTAACAGAGAGATTTTGGCTTTATAAAGATACTGTGGGTGACGAGGTCAGTGGCTAGAAGCTTGTTTTTGATAAAAGAGAACTTTTCTGAAAGCAACAATTGCTCAAAGAATCCAATCCCTTTTCCCTTCCTTATCACTAACTTATCCTATCTGAATTGTATAGTTTATTTATTTCTTTCAAAGGGTTGAAAAAATGAACATATTGTGGGAAAAAATAACTAATAATATTAATAACAATAATACTTTAATTTATGCCTGAGATGTGGAACTTTGTCCACATTTGTTCTTGTAATTGATACAGAAATCCAACAATGAATAATTGTTTGGTCATGGACTGTTGGTCTGGAGTGGCAAAGGGCAGTAAGGAGAGGTTGTGCAGGGGTTAAAAGTGCATGCTAGGAGGCTATCAGCCATGTGGAATGGGAAGAAAAGGCACATGAAAGAGATCATCAGACCACGGTGTGGGAATTAAGCCAATACAAAGGAATATTATGGATATATTCATACTAATATTAAGGATGAATCCTACAAATTTCTTTTACTAAAAGTGCATTCCAGCTTAGGGGATACAGAAGTCGTCTGAGGCTGCCTTTAGTGTAACTTTCTGCACACTTCACCTCACCTCATTTCAAATGATCATTTAGTGTAGAAACACACATTTATTTAATTTAAATGTATTCTTTCTTATAAAGACTGAAGGTCAAATCTCTTGACTTGTAACTATAAAAATAGACTATTAGGGATAGAACTGAGTCTTTTTCCAGAGGTTTCAAGATCCAGGCAGGGTAGACAAACCTCAGTGAATCTTTTTCATAATCATAGCTAAGTCATTACAGTGTTAAAATTCCTGGTAAATCTGATTCAAATAAAAAAACACGAGATTTCATATAAACTCAACAGTTCCTTAAGAATGCTTAGGATTGCTAATCAGCAATTTCTATTCCAATATGAAGGAGAAATTATAGTAATGAACTGCCCAGAAAGGAATTTCAGTTTAACACATTTATTGGTCATGAAACAATGGTCTGAGGCATTAATAATAGTATTTTGTTTGTCACTTCATCACTGTACACCTCCTCATCTTCATGTATCACTTAAAAATATTGACTTTTTGTAGCAGTATCGTCTGTAAAGAAAGGATACACCCATAAGAACCAGTGCACAGTACATTATTTTATGTAAGTTGGTAAGAGTTCCACAGCTACATATTACTTGTGCTAAAAGCTGTATTTAAAATGACTTTTTTATATTATCTGTAGGTGAATAGCACCACTTACTGGTGAAACCACTGAATTGTCAAACTTGTTCTATAACGCTTATATTAATAACATATTACAAATTGTTAAAAAATAAAAAATCAACCTTCTAATGTTTCTACAGTATGTAAATCAAATATATTTTTGTTAATTATTTTTGGAACAAGCACTACAACACTACTCTGTGGTACTGAGAAATGTTTGCCCAGAATTTGCATTAAACACATACAGTGGAGCATGGTGATTTAGAAACTTGTTACATCTAGTAATCAAATGTCTGGTAAAACTGTAGAGTGCAATAGGTAAACCACTTCATTTTGAGTGCACATCACCTGTCAAATGTCACAGAATGGTAATCCTGTATGTGCAGAAGTAGCCATGTTGCAGATGTGAGTTGAGTCTTAATTTTGTCTCACATTACCACAATAAAAACTACAATTTTTTCGTTGCTGATAGTTTTACAGGAAAAAAAATGCCAGAAATTTTAATTGCAACCTCTTTTTTTAACTTTGTATTATAATAAGATTAATGTGGTCTGCACATTTGAATATAATTCTTACATTCATGTAAAATAAATATATTTTCTTTTCTGTCAGACACATCTTCCCTTGCCTTATACATCTGTAACACATGGAACCTATGAGTTATGACGGTCATTTTTGGAGTCATCACATTTTCTTGCTGGTATTCATGTTGTTCTTTGCATTATAATGTACTTTCAATAATGTTATTTCAATGTTATGTTGTAATATTGGCTTTATTATGTTTGCTGGACTATGGGATTATTACTAGAGGAAATGCAGTCCATCTAGCCCGTTTGGTTGTATCTCATTAGTTTGAGGGTCATCCATGAGTTACTCTGCAGAAGCCAGGGTATCTGTAGCATGTCCAGGGAGCTTCTTTCATGCTCTCACAATGTGCCCCGTCTTCATTTTAAACACCTTTCCACGTTTCCTCTGGTGCTGTTTATTCTGGAGATGTCTACTCTGCGGATTTCGTCAGTACTATTGGGAATTTGGAATACCTGGATCCGGTCCCGTTTTCTTTGTTCATTAATAACATGTTATTTTATCTTGTCAGTGCAGGACATTACTTTAAGCCTATGAATGTATCTGGTTACTTCTCTTAAACAAAACAAAAATTCTCTTTCATAAAAGTGTATGTTTTGCATCTGACATGTAAAATAATGCACTTGTCTATGTTAAATATCAACTGCTAGGTATATACAAAGTCTTGAATTATCACTGTGGTACAGCACTACCCCTACCATTACATTACCCCATTCGCTCTCTGTGTTCATTTCTGTAGTTGCTTGTTCAAAGATCTCTAACAAGTTAGTTAAGGAGGACCTTCATTTTCTCAATCCATGTTAACTACCCCCTAGGATATTATTTCAATACACTTTAAGTGATCCTCTAATTAAGTTCTAATTATTGTTGTAATTAATAACTTTACATGTAATAGATGTTCAAATTATTGGTCTAAAGCACTTGGTACCACAGATATAGGGCTGCAGGTACATTGCTTGTACAACGTTTTATTAGACACTGTGATGTCGCCTCTCAATCGAGAGCCAAGTAAGGTATTAGATGTGACAATAAAATTCATCCTTTTACAACAATTTGTAATAATTGTATGCATTTTGTTTTGGATCTGATAAAACTGTAATCAAATTGGTAATTTGAATAAACCACAATTTTACTCATTGTTTGAAAACATTCAGTTTCAAGTCTAATGTTTGCAAATGGTACCATCTATAGGTATACATAGGTACTACAAAAACAATCTACAATTACAATGTTATGTGATAAAAAACTGCTAAACTTATTTTACTCATCAAATGTTATTTTATTTACATTTTTTCTACTATTTCTCTTCACTCACAATTTCCCCATTATTCTGTATATGCTACAAATTATACCACACCAATAAACAAAATATTTTTTATAATCTGGAACAAGGATCTTTTTATGCAACACTTAAAATTTACAATAGGAAGCTTAAATCCTGATCCTACAATTTGAAGTTGAAAGTGAAGTTGCTACGATCCTTGGTCATTATTTTTTAATGGCATATTGGATACCATATAAAATGTGAAAAAACATTAAGCACAATTTGGGGGTTAAAGCAGGATATAAACTGCTACCTATGGTGATATCTCTGTGATACATCAGGACTTGAAAGATACCGTAAAAAAGTAAAAGAATCTTACTGCTCCATTTTGGAGGGAAGACAGAAAAGGCTACACTTCAAATTTCATAGAGTGTGATGAAGTAAATATCAAATGCCAACATTCCAGTCACAATGCAGTTTTGGTACCCTACAATCCTCATACTGCAAAATCCAATTTCCATGAATTCACAAATCAAATACCTGATTCTGTCCATCAGCATAAATTCTCATTAGCTATGCTGATTTATCAAAACAAGACATCCCCATAAACTTTGCAAAGATGAAAACCAAGTCATGAACTACGGAGATTTAAGCTGGTAATGTTTCATGTTTGCAAATTATTACAATATTTGTATGTTGCTATTTTACCTTTGTTGTTGTGGGTGTACTTTAGTTGAGGACAACAATTATAAAAATTCTTAACGCATACAGTATATACTGCATGGAGGCTATTTAATAGATTTTTAGGACTCTGGTATTCAGAAACCAGTCTGGCTTCTGTTGTTGGTCACATTCTTCTTGGGACTACAGTACCATTTAAGCGATAAAACGTTGCAATGTTTTAAAACTATACTACTGTATATACATTATATATCTCAAAGAATGATCGACTTACAGAGACAAACTTTAACCCAAATAAGTAGCATACAAAATCAAGGAGATTTTTTAAATTATTTTAATTGGATATTACCAAAACTAAACTTATATGTTGTGATGATACATAGCACGCCAGTCTGAATGTGCACTGGAAAAGAGCTTTGATTTAACCAACATTGCCTTTAACGTAGCCAACTAAGTGATTGCAATATCTGAACTGAGCACTTCATAAAGCACTGGGTAAAGGTTCTGAAGACATGTTAGGTCTATCCTGACAATCCAGTCATTTATTTGCTGCTCTGAGCCTTTCGGACACATTCTCCCAGTTGACCACATTCCAGATAGCCTTCACATAGTCAGGTCTAACATTCTTGTATTGCAGGTAGTAGGCATGCTCCCAGACATCAATCCCAAGCAGAGGAATAAGACCTGAAAAGAAAATGAAATGATGTGAACAAAATAGTAAACTTGAAGAGCATTAAGAGTGGCCCTATACATGATCAAAGACTCAGCGGCACTATGTATGATGCAAATAATCAAGTAAACTCAATGGCACCATTGTGCTTAACACATCAATTATAAGAAAAAGTTCACTTGTGGAAGATACTGTCACACTCAATGCCTATATCCGCTCTGAATTTAAGTTAAACGTCACCTCACAGTTGCAGTGGCGTCTTCTTCAAGGGTAAGAAAAGAAGCAGCACATTCCAGGACACAGGTGCACACACTGCAATTTGCTGTGATAACTCACTGGGGTGACCGTGGCTCTCTGGTGCATAGATCTACACACTGAGGAATGTTATGGCATTTTGCCTCAAGGAACGTCTGAAAAATTATCTCTTTGCTGCTAGAGATTTCTGTGCTACTAAGGGGACCATCCAATCTCATCTTCAACAGTTGGAAGAGACGACTGCAGTCATCCGTCAACAAAAGAAAGAGAGTGCATAACATGTTGTGCACCTCTTGAATCTTAGCACCATGAGGGTTGGAAACGTGGGTACCCTAGTTTATTACTAAGCTAGCCGAAGCGGTAGATGCAACCTGCTGCTCTAACTTGCACATTGTCTGGCTGGCATATCTGGTGCCATATAAAATGGTCCTATTAACTTTAAACAAAAACCTCTACTGAAATGGCTAACCTCACTGATATGATGGCACACACAATTTACAATTGGCTTTGCATCTGACTGAAGTGCATTTCACTCATGGGGTTATGGGTTTTGTTTGAAACCATATAATGTTTTTGAAATATGGAATTGTATATCTCTGTGTGCTATTAGAAGTACAAAACAGAAGTTCCTTTATTGTTTCTTTTCATTTCTATAAAATACTTTGGACAATTAAAATTTTCAATCACCAGCACTATAATGAAGCCATTAAGCCAGTTCATCAGTCTGGGAAAACAACTAGGGAGTAATTTGATTAACTCTTTTAGATGATTGCTTTCGTTACAAAAATGTATTAAAATCCAGTCGGATTACATGGTCACTGAAGAGCTCAAATGGAAAATATTTTCCCCTTACCAGCACACATTTGCTTTTAATTTGACAGGACCAAAGACATAGTAGGCAATAGGTGAAAAAAATATATTCCAGTGTGTAACACAACCTGTGATCTGAAATGAGTGGGTAACAAGATGAATAAGAAATTATGTTTCTGAGCCACAAAACAATAATACAATTGTGAATTTCAAATACCACTGATGGTCACATTGATTCAGTGAAGTTACCTCTTATTTTAATTTGACCTCTTTACACATATGTTTTTGAGGGCTTGAAGGTAGGTAACATCAACTATGAATGAAAACAATGACGACAATATCACCACATTATAACTAGGTATGACCATTAAACTTTAACTCTCTATAAAAATAGGATGCCTTGTTTTGTAGTTTTTATTATCCACATTACTTTCTCCAAAAGCAATCAGTGCTCGGATAACTATTCCAGAAGTTTGAATGCAGCATTCCCATAGTCTTCTGTTAATCTAAGTGTTTAAAGTCTCTAAAGTAATAGAAGTGAAAAGAAAACAATCCAGGGTCTTGTACACTCCTAGCAACAGTTGGGGATATATAAAACCATATTTTTACAAATTGCAAAAACACTCCCTTGGAATCTAAAGTGAAGGCATGTCTCACGCTTCAGGATACGCATCTGAATTCTGCTGATATTCAAAGATGTCTACATAACCAAGTCATTTCGTATTCTTGCACCCTGACTAAAGTTGAGCTCCTACAGCAGTTAAGAAGGTACATTTTAGATATTTTAGGTCAGTTTGGGACACTCGATGACAATGGATTAAATTACAGCCACTGTTTTTGATCAATTTTTGGACTTCAAAAACCTTTGACTACTAGAGTTTCCAATGTATCCAAAGCATTAATTTGATATTTAAATCAGCACTGGATACCTATACATCACTTCACCTCTACACACTTACAAACATTTAATAATAATAATAATTGCTTACACTTATATAGCGCTTTTCTGGACACTCCACTCAAAGCGCTTTACAGGTAATGGGGACTCCCCTCCACCACCACCAATGTGCAGCATCCACCTGGATGATGTGACGGCAGCCATAGTGCGCCAGAACGCTCACCACACATCAGCTATCAGTGGGGACGAGAGTAGAGTAATGTAGCCAATTCAAAGAGGGGGATTATTAGGAGGCCATGATTGGTAAGGACCAATGGGAAATTTTCAAGAAGCGCCCTGGGATTTTTAATGACCACAGAGAGTCAGACCTCGGTTTTCCGTCTCATCCGAAGGATGGCGCCTGTTTACAGTATAGTGTCCCCGTCACTATACTGGGGCATTAGGACCCACATGGACCGCAGGGTGAGCGCCCCCTGCTGGCCCAATTAACACCTCTTCCAGCAGCAACCTTAGTTTTTCCCAGGAGAACTCCCCATACATTTGCACAAGACTTAAATGTATGCAATGTATGGCAAAAATATACTGGTTTAAAATATATAATTGTATTTTACATTCTGTTAATCTGCTCAGGGCTAAAGTTCCTTGAGACTAATTCTTATCTACAATTCTCAAGATGGTTGGACAAGACATGGCTGTGATCAAGGAATTGTTAAACGCAGTAAAATTGCTTCAGTTATCTCCTGAAGGCACTGAACTTTTGATAGTTTCTATAACTTCATAATTTTTTATATTAAACACCGTAAATGCTTAGAACAAAATAGTTCTTTTCACAAAGGTCATAATTCAATTCAATTTTGCTTCTTACAAATCATCAAAGACCCATCAGAACACTCTGGTTATAGTACAATTTTTTAGGCTATTAAGATTAATCTTCAAACGATTTATAAATGCTGTTCATACGTAGATAGATGTGCCACTTAATATTATGAACAGACAGCTTTCCAAATTCGTCAGTTTGCTTCTGATCAAATCCATCATAAAGTGGAAGAAGTATCATACAATAATTATCTAGACTTCTCAGTTTAAATGCAAAGAAGGTATTCCTAGGTTAGCTGATAAAATATCTATGGCCTTCTCTAGAATACTTTCACTTTGAGTATTTATTACTATGATGAGGAGCCAGTAAAATCAGTCTAACTGCCTGTGTGCTACCTGGTCAGTGACATCACCTCAGTTCTCTTTACACCCATTGACATACAGATATCTAAATAGTTTACCAAACGCTTATGAGAATAAGCTGCCGTTTTGCTCTTAAACTTTCCAGTTTGGTTAACTTTAGTTATTTGAGAAATATCATAGACTCTTTTGATATTAAATAATTTGTCAAACTCAATCCTTATTCCATTTGGAGTCTTATTCCAATGCCATGACAACTTCTCTTCTACCCCACATTCCTAATCAGTTTCTTTCTATGGATTTTACTTAAGATATTAGGGGTATTAAGATCTCCCCTAACAGATCTGCAAAGAATGTACTTGAGATCCTTAATGAAGTTAAAGCTGATTAAAGGAGATGGTCTTCTTTACAGGCTACACTGAAAATATGACTCAAGTGAAAACACTGAGGACAGATAAGAGATACTCCACTGTTCCATTAGGCGCTGAACCACCAGCATTTTACAGTATTAACTGTTTTCTGCTGAGAAAAATAAATGGCTCAAAGGTGGGCAGGTTGAAGGAATCTACTATACCTACTTCCTCATTCTCTCCTGTCTTAACATGAAAAACAGGCAATTGACAATTTCACATCTGGAGAGGTGAGGGGGGTATAACAAACTAATTGGTTCTAAATTTCTGTAACTCTTGTGTTTTGTTTATTTATTTATTTTTTTAAGAAATGCCTCAGTTTGTTTTTATGTTTCAATGTACACTGACCTGTGGTAGCTTGCAGAGGGTCCTGGTTAGCGCAGGCAGCTACTCGTAATCGACCACTTTCTCTCTCGAAACCCAGCCAGCCCCAGCCTGAGCCCTGGACAGCAACACAAGCTGCTGACATTTTCTCCTTCATCTTCTCAAAGGAACCAAAATCCCGTTTGATGGCTTCCAGGAGTTCTCCTGAAAACAACATTGCTCTATTCAGATTTCAAAACTCACATTTCAAAGTCAGATTTCTGTGATTCTCACAACATATCTTATTAGGTTAACTTTATTTTTCAGAGATAATCTGTTAATGTCTATTACTGAATTATGTAGAAGAAATTCTTTGCACTGGCAGGACCGTTTCAATCATAGTAGGGAAGGAGAGGAGTCCTCCCTTTGCAAGCAGTTTGATCCATTTTCAACAGAATATTTAGAATAAGGAACAGTGCAGATGAATCACAAAAGACAATTTAAAGACTAAAAGTAACAAGTTTCATACTAGCATACTTGTACGTCATGCTAACAGGCTCTTATTAAATGTATGGTGATAGCAGTATGGACCAAAGGTGCCCCACTCTCCTTAGCTGTCATGTCCTCCCACCAACATGAAAACAAGCCAAGAAGCTACCAGTACTGCAACAACTATACTGAGAAAAATAGAACAGAATGAGAACCAATGCAAAAAGTGTAACAGTAATAAGCTAAGAAGTAGGAATAAAAACATATCTCAATTTCAATTAGACTGTAAAGAAAATCAGGTTAAGAATAACACTTATATTAAGTACACACTACATGAAACATACCTTGTGGTTCCCCTCTGCTATTAGAAGACAGGTTAGTCCAGAAAATAGAATGATTGATGTGGCCACCACCATTAAATTTGAGAGCTGGCTGTAAAGCAATCTGTGATGTAACATCACCTAAAAAACATTCAATACACAGTTTAAACATAATATATGAGTGAACCCAAACCGTGGACATTTCTATAATCATATAATAAAGATATCCATCTTTAATGGCTATAATCCTCAGCAACCCTTCTATAAATCAAGGGGAGGTTTTTACTTCACAGTTCTGCAGGAATTCAGCAGATAATTGAAAGGCATTTGAAGAGGAGAGTTCCACCTCTCTCAAACATTTGGTGCTGCTCCCTACTCTGAATTTGTATTACATAAATAGGGTGGCACAGTGGTTATCACGCTGTGGCCCTGGCTCCAATGCCAGACCTGGGGTGCTATCTGTGTGGAGTTTGTATGTTCTCCCTGCTTTTGCACAGGTTTTCTCTGGTGCTCCAGTTTTCAGGTATACTGTCAGGTTAACTGGCTTCTGGCGCGATTGTGTGTTTGTTTGTCTGGACTGCAACGGACTGGCGTCACATCCGGCGTGTACCCCATATTGCACCCATTGTTTTTCAGGATAGGTTCCAAATCCCCCATGACCCTATATTTCTAAAGTGGTAAGAAAATAGATGGATTGATTTAATAGTGTTCTACATGCGAAACCTGAATACTTGCCAATACTGATAAAAAAAAAACATTATGTTCCTGGCATAGTTAGAATAAAACAAAGCGGTACAGTAGGTTCAAACAAGGAATACAGTTGACTATACAAACACTGACTCTAGTACCCAGCCCTCCACTCCTACAACTACTTTTCCTCCAGAGATTAACCAAAGAAGTATAAAATACAGAAAAACAATGATACGCCTAACAGCATAGCAGCCATTCCTTGTAAACTAAAGTCACTTGCAAATATGCAGGATTCAAGAACAGAATAGTTCAGATAATGTCTAGGCCTTCCAGGTGAATCCCTTTTTAAAAGAGAATTAGGTGTAAAAGCCCACCGTTTTAGCAATCTTCAAAGGGTAAAATCTAAACAAACAGCACTGTAATTCATTCTCAAAGTGGGCTGTATTTGGACTTTCATCACACAGTTTGGATTATGTTGTCCATACAAAGGGTTCTTGTTCAACAGCTGCTTGATTCGTGCATAGCGATTAATCAGTTGCTTACCCTTAGCTAGCGCCTCTTGGTATTTCTCCTCCGCAACATTGAGGTTATTGACATAGGTGGCATGATGTTTGCTGTGGTGCACCTGCATGATCTCTGCACTGATATGGGGCTCCAATGCCCCATAGTCATAGGGCAGGTCAGGGAGGGTGTGCTTCTGCCTTGAGGCCACACAGTTCAGGGCTGGGCTCAGTGAAGCAGCATACCTACAGTCACAAGTGACAACACCTAATATTAATAGTTTTTTGGTTGTTTCATTAAAAAGGTCATTGATGTACCATGTAACTATTCAAAAAAATATAAAGAAAATAAAGAGGGAAACCCGAGTACTCATAAAGAGGCCTCCGAGATTTTTCGCCAGTTCTTGGATACAAGCTAATAAAAATAAGGCCTATTTAGTAAAGAAGCTGTTATTGTTAAATATCCTTCAAAAACATTCGTTTTACTATAACGGGTTCTTACGTCACGTTTTACAAACGAACCAACAAAACACGGGATAGTTTAATATTATTAATAAACATCGTCTTTGCTAGCGTTAAGCTTTTGGACACAAAAATTGGACAAACCAGTAAGACCCCATTACGGACTAATGTAGAGGTAGAGGTAACTAAACTTTGTGTGCACGAATAGTTGAAAACTGCCATCATTATTTATTTGCAATTTAAAAAGTAACTTTAAACATCAAGTATAATGCAACTCCAGTTAGCTTAACACAAATCTTAATCGTGTTACTGTCAATCAGTAAAAGAGTGACAGTCCATAGTGTTATAAGGTTTTACCCAGTAACCCGTTGCCTCTTTCTGGATATACCCTACATGTATAGAACTCTGGCTTTCGCTTTTGTGGTGGGTCATCATTACTCGCAAATGCTTCTTACCTGCGAAGATTACTAACCCTGCACAACATTTTCAATGCAAAAGGAACTCGTGCAATTCTGCTTCTGCAGCCTGTAGTGCTGACCAGCCCCCTCAGCAATACAAACCCAGCTCTCTTCTGAACGGAGACGCACGCTGCCCTTGAACTTTCAACTTCAACTTGTTTTGGAACGTACCACTTTATTAAAAATCGTCAGAATGATACGATTCCTGTTTTTACAGCACATACGAATGTGCTTTCAAACAAAATGATTTATAAAACGCAGAATATATTGTATCACAAAGTCCACTAGCGCATTCTACATTTGTTTTTTTTTTAAAGGAATTTACCCCGTTCTGCATAACAATGGTTTTATCCACTCCATTTTGTCGTAGTGCACTTTCAGCCATGCTCTTGCTGGAGAAATGTGTGTGTTTGCACGACTTATTTATGTTTTAAAGCACTGGATATAGTTGTAAAAATTATCAGCTCGGGGTGGATTAAGAATTTTTAGGTATTTCCGCAGTCGAGAGGGTAAAGGATGGAATATTTTAATGTGATGAATTGAACAGCAATTTTTAACATGGATACAATTCTTCAAAAGGGCTACAAACACTTGGAGGCCATTCGTATCTTGTAGGTCGTTTGGTATTTAGACGATTAATTGAACCAAGGATTTCATCTAGTTGTTTCTTGAAAGAGGCCAGGGTAGCTTGGTTACAGACTCCCACAACCCTTTGGGTAAAGACGTGCCTAAAAGGGCGGAGCTGACATCATTAAGCAACAGGAACTGTCTTCCTGTTCGCGTTGCCTTTCACAATAAAAGTCTCTCTAAAACATGCCTACAAAATCCAAGACAGGGTGAAGGTACGTTTCTGGCTAAACAAAAATGTGTACATCCTCAAAACTGGGAGGAATGCGATATAGAGACCCACAACTAAAAGATACCGTTCTTCATTCACTTTTGCATGTTTTGTAATATTTTTTGGTGTTTTTATATCACTTCTTCTTGGGAAGATTGACAGTGCAGCTCATTTCTGGAGACGTGAAAGTTGCATTCCTGTTCTCGTTTTTTAATGGTTTAAATGCATTTCCATATTTCCACTTTAAGTTTCCAGTTGTGTCTTCTGGTTCGTATTTTATGGTTCATTCTGAAGAAGCCTAGTGTGTCACTTCGTCATTGAGGATTTTTGAATACCTCTATCAGGTCTCCTTGTAGTCTTCCCTGTTCTGCCTTGAGGCTCCTGGCTTCCGTGCCCTAAAGTTGGATAAACGGTTATTGAAAGTGATGATGATGATGAAACGCGGTGACCAAAATTTTACACGATATTCAAAATGAATCCCTGGTACGAGTGGTTTGCACATTGTTATGTACACTTTGCTGATGTTATTAGTATCTATATGCTAATAACATTCACTGTAAATTTACTTAAACCCTTAACTTGCTTTTACCAAGTATACATATTTTAAAAATATAACTTAAACAGCCTTAAATTTTGAACGTACATTTGAAATGAACATTTATCAGGTTCAGGTATTGCAATGTATTTTTTACATGTTACACAGCAAAGACATCAAGACAGAAAATATCAAAATTCTTTGTAACTATATTTGCACCATGTCAGCACTAGATGGCACTGTAAACTTTTTTGTGTATGTGGAGATAAACTGCAGAGGGTCTGAAATTCTTAAAATTTGTAGGAACAACCTTATTATGGAACAAGTAATGACACCTTCAGGTGACACCTGAAGAAGGCTCCACGGCCGAAACGTTGTGTTCTCTTTCTTCTTTTTTTCAGCATGGAATAAACCTATTACTTGTTCCTTTGCAGCCTACGCATGCTGACGCAGCTACCCACCTGAACTACTACAACCTTATTATTATTATTATTATTATTATTATTATTATTATTATTTGACACAATATACCATTTTAGGAGTTTACAGTCAAGTAATCTAATTTAATAAATGCAGAGGAACAACAGGTTTATTCCATGCTGAAAAGAGAAGAAAGAAAATACAAAGTTTCGGCTGTGGAGCCTCACACCCAAAGAATGTTTCTCTTTTCAGCATGGAAAAAACCTACAACTTTTTTCTTTGCAGCCTACGGATGCTGATGCAGCTACCCACCTGTACTAATTTAATAAATGTTTCTACTGTATATGTCAGATTGAAATCTAGTGAATAGCCAAACAAAGAAATTAAACCTTCATATCCAACAGAACAGGTAATGTATAATGTATATATTGTAAAAATGACCATTGTGGAACCTTCTGACATTCTGCTAGTGGTGAAGATCCTGGTGTCTCTTTGCCTTGGGCTGTAAGTATGAACTATTTACTTCACTTACAGATGTGCAGCAAATGAGCAAATGTAATCAAATTTAAGTTCAGTCTGGCTCCCAGAGCCGGAATCCAGAGGTTTACTGTGATGCTCCTCCTCTTGGCCGCAGCTGGAGGCTTCCGTGATCAATACTGCTGGCCCCCTTGTGAGTCCCTAGACTCAATCATGAGACTTGTGATGCCCCCATGCCCTGGTTTTACCCACCCACGGGTGATTGACAAAACAGGGGAAAATTGGGACAGTATTGCAAAACCCATACTTGTCAATATCACTGTGTGAGGCAGGGACTTCAACAGAACCAGCTGAACCACATCTATACTAGGATTGTTTACAGGAAAGCAATGTTAATTTTAAAGAATGTCTCACATTCAAAAGCTATAGAAAATATTTTTAAGGAGTCATTCATGTTGTGTGCCGTTACTCTTTTAAATTCTGATTCCTTCCACAACATTGCATTGACAGCACATGTACTGTACGGTCACACTTAAATCTTATGTTTCACACTTGAGTTTTATGGTTTTGTATTATGTTGTATTGTATGGTTTTGTTATTTATATTGCATTGATTGTATGAATCATGTGACATATGTTACATACAGTTAAAGTGGTTCAGGTTGGTAGCTGCGTCAGCATGCGTGCAAAGGAAGAAGTAATAGGTTTATTCCATGGTGAAAATGGAAGAGAGAAAACACCTCTTCTTTCTCTTGTCTCTCTCACCTCTTCTCTCCACCTGTTTTCTCTCTTCTTAGCATGGAATAAACCTATTACTTGTTCCTTTACATACAGTTACAGTTTTGTTTACTTGGTTTTAATTGTTGTCTCAGTGAATCCAAAAGAAAATTTCCAATGTATGTGGACAATAAAGGACATTCTGATTCTGCTATCTGGAAGACAGCACTGGGAAAATCAGGATGGTTTGTAGCCTTAAATATAAGACTTGAATGTTTGTTGTTGAGTTAGGGCAGAGAATACAGTACTGTACTTGACTTTACTGAGTAAACTGACTTTAAGGTCACACAGAACAGTGTCTCTCTAAGGGCTGATGCCTTTCTCTCCCTGTTCTTTGAGCTTCCACCCATTGGTCAAAGGTCCGTCTTGCGTACACGCTCGTTAATTACAGCACAGTTCAGAGGTGGCATGTAACTGGGCCCCAGACCGAGAGGGAGCAGGGCTCCAGAAGAGGGTAAGCATAGACAATGTATTGTTACAATACATTACAATACAACAATAGACAATGTATCTGCATACAGCCAGTTCTTCAATGAGGCCCTGCGCAGTTAGCTCTGTCCACACGCAACACATAAATGGGACATTTACAGTACATGCCCCATCCCAGCCCTCCCAAGAACGAGTCCTGAGTCCTGGCTAGGCAGTCAGGAGAACTCAGGCAGTGTTTGAGAGGGAAGACTTGAGGGGAACACAGTTTGCATTGTTTGACCCAGGAGAGGACTCATACACTAGGGACTCTACAGAGAGCAGCAGAGGAAGACCCCGGCATCATCGTCCTCCGCCCTAACAACTGGACTTAGCTAGACTCAGCATGAGGGACCACATTGTTTGGGTTGGCCGGGACTGAAGAGGATGCCTAAGACAACACATAATGTCTTTGCTGTGGCAGAAGGAGGCACACCAGGTCACTGACCCAAAACAGCATTACTAGACTTTTGCTTTGGGACTTTGGGTTTTGGAAACTGGGGTCCATGGGGCTCATATGGTTTGCTGGCATGTGGGTAATTTTTGTCATGGACTCTGTGTGATCGGTAGACTACAATAAAATGGCATATTATGAAGAATGACTGTCTTGTCTGGTCTGTGGGTGCACTGGAGGTACTGGGAGATAAGAAGAACCTCTGGTGGGGAAAAAGGGGCCTAGCACTCTTGTAATTGCTCGGTGGAGTAGTTGGCTATAAAAGCTAAAATTATTCTGTATTTTGGGATCACCACCTGTGACAGCTAACCCCTAATAAAATCACAGTAGGACTGTAAATGAGTCATACACGTAATCACCACATTCCATCATGAACACCTGCAAATAGACATACCTGTCAAGTGATAGAAGCTGTCTGCATGGAATACAGAAATATACATGAATTTGGAGTTGACGGAACAGGGTGTCAAAAGATTAAACTACACATTTAATTCCAAATGAAAACATAAATAGCAATTTATAGATATAACAACAACACTAATGATACACTGTGAAGCATTAAACAGTGCACGAGTATTGAAACAACAGTATTTGTTGCACTTTTTAATGCCTCTGTGTACAAACTTTATACAGTGCCTTTAAGCACAATTATCCATCTATATATCCATCTTATAACCGCTTTATCGACTACAGGGCCTCGGGGGGCAGGAACCTGTTCCTAGCAAGCCGCAGGAGCATGATGGGATATCCCTGAGCAGGATGCCACACAGCGCAAACACACTGTCACAAACTCAGACATGCACACACCCACGCCAGGGCCAGCTTTCCCAGAAGCCAATAAACCTGGCAGCATTTTCGACTGTGGGAGGAAGCCACAGAACCCACACAAAGAGGGGGATAACATGTAAACTCCATGGAGATTGCACCCCAGCAATGCTAGCCACTGCGCCACCGTGCCGACAGAATATATCTATGCATTATGTGTTTTTCCTCTAAGTCTTCATAGTCGTACTATTATTATCATAAATGTTGAAATCCATATTCATCACTGGGGATTTCAGACAGCGAGCTATGTACTGAACTTTGTTGATGTGTGCGATATTACAGGATGTGGATTCTCTGAATAATAACATATTTCTATGACAACTGGAAGAGACTTGCGCCTCCCTCCGTCTGGAGCGCTGATCCTCCGGCCCACTGCGCTCTGCGCGCGTCCACCTTATGATGCTTTGCGGCGGAAGCTCCTCCTCCTCTCACTCATGGCGGCGGCGAGAGATTTGGGCAAATAGCATCGGTGTTTGGAGAAACGAGACAAAAAAAAGATTTCCCGATTTGTTTTTATTTTTAATTTCGCTTTTGTTAACGTTTTATAGCGTTTGTCCAAGAGGATTTCTAGCCAGCAGAAAGACGGGTCTGGTAAGTCTTCCCTCAGGGGTGTAACGGTGGTTATCAAGGGGAGGATTGTGAGTCTCGGCTGCGGGAGAGTCCGACACTCTTCCTTCAGCGCCATTTTGTGGCAGCGAGAAGCTGCAAACACAAGAAACCGGCAGGTAGCGAAAACACAACATAATGATTCCCGGATATTTATGCTAGTTTTGGCGAGCACGGTTACACGTACGTAAAGTGTCTTTTTACATGTTTGTACCTAAGTGTTTTTATACTTTGTATTTAAAAGTAACGAAAACAGCGTGATGTGTATACTAAAACCATGATGGTTCTGCTTTAGCAAGACAGGGGAGGGCGGATACCTCCACAGGATATTTTTTTATCTTGAATGAGAAAAGAAATGATAAAAATTAGAAAAACAGTGGAACCGAGCGCCTTGTCACCTTATATATACATACTCGCAGGACTTGAGCTGTTAGGTTGGCTCTTTACTGAGCATTTACTTGGCAGTACTTGAAATAAATTAGGTGTCCCAAGAAGATGTTGATAGCTTTTTAACTGGTGTTTTTTTAATTGTTTTGATGGGGAAGGTGTTTACACAAGCTGAAAAATACTTTGAATTGGTTGTAGCTTTACTGGAAAATTCTGGAAACTTTCTAGTCCGAATATTTTGGATTTCGTTTTGCTAGCACTATCAGCCGAAGCGCAACTTCAGACGCCGTACACCTCTGTCTTACCATCTGAAATCAATGGTTGTAGCTGAGCCTATGTGATGGAGTCAATGATTGAGGCTATCGTTAAAGTTAGTTTGCTGCGGAAAGATGTAATTTGTAAGAGATAATGTCGATCTAATATATGTGGATTGTAAAATTGTTGACAAGTTTTTGTCCCTCCCCCCCCCCCCACACTATTTTAAGAAGTCGCATAATGTTGACCTGTCTTTTGTGGCCGCCTGTTTCTTTTTGGTTAACTCACCATAACAGTGTGAAATCCACGTCAAAGTCTACTCTTCATTTATCTGTGATTAATTGAGTGTCGATCTTCTTGCACACCCCAAAAAAAAAAGTTTCCTACGTTTTGTTGAGACTTTCCATTGTTTTGTTTTCTCTTTCCCCTACAGAGTTCAGAATGACTAATGAAGAACCTCTGCCAAAGAAGGTCAGTATAGGAAATGTTATACAGGTCATTCAACATAGTGATCTTAAATGTTGAGATTTCAACTAAACATCTTCTTGCTTGATTAGGTTCGCCTTAGTGAATCTGACTTGAAGACCCTGACCAGAGAGGAACTTTGTGTAAGGTAAATATCTGTATTGCAGGGAGGGAAGTGGGGCGTTGCGTCTTAATTTGGCCTTGTGCAATTCATGTTATTTTTTCTGTTCAGGTGGAAGCAGCATGAAGCATATGTCCAACTTCTGGAAGCAAAATATGCAGAACTGAACTGTAAGTTCATGTTTTCATGTTAATAAAAATTGTATTTGGAAAATGAATAGATAAATTGTGAAGGCTACTTAATTTCACCACGTATACATAGCATCTGCTGCTTAATTGGTTCTTACAAGACCTGTTGTTAAGCAGTCTATTCAGAAACCTTTATATACTGTCTCTCAAGATTTTAATACCTGCATTTGTGCAGTGCTTTTCAACCAGTTTAAGTGCAGCCTCCTCCTGGATTGATGTGAGAAAACTATTGTTGGGTGCCTAACTTCCCAGCAAATGCAAGTCCGAAGTGGATTTTTGCCAGAATGTGGGTTAGCCCCCCTATTCTTTCGAACAGTATATTGAACCTTTGAATATGTGATCAGGATGTTAGTTTAATGTTTAAGACCACCTCCTATAGTACAGTGTCCTTATTCACAATAGAAGGGTATTGGTTTGGAAATTGTGTTCCAGAGGGAAGTGACACATTTATCCTCAAATTGACACAAATGTCACTTAATGGCAGCAACATGGTTTTCTTTAGAGTTTTTCCCATCTTGGCCCCGAACAAGGGTCAAGTATGCTTAGCTTCAGAAATCTGGGGTGATCAATTTACAGGATGGTAAAGCTGCTCTTGAATGCTCTGTTGCGTTTTTTGAAATGTTAAGTTTTTTTTCCTCTTTATTTGCCCAATTCTGGTTTAGCGAATGATGTGACTGGATTGAAGGAGTCTGAAGAGAAGCTGAAACAGCAGCAACAAGAATCTGCAAGAAGAGAAAACATTCTTGTCATGAGGCTTGCCACAAAAGAACAGGAAATGCAAGAGTGTACAGTAAGTAGCAAATACTGTTTTTAAGTTGTATTTGTTGAAGGGAAGTGTGCATCACAGTATTGGCCTGAAAGAAAATGCATATATAGATAATATAAGGTTTAATGTTTTTTATTGGAATTAGATACTTTCTACAATTATTTCATATTTGGCATGGAGTTTTTTTTTGCCAAAACATTTTAAATTTGTACCCATTGATTTGGCTAGGTATTAGATTGATATGAGTTAAGTACCTTGTTCAAGGGTACATCAGCAATGGGATTTGAATCCACAGCCTTTCACTCCTAACACTCCTCCACACTGCTGTACTGCTTCAGTTAACTTATTTTACAATTTTTTTAATCTAAACTTTAAGGGAGGGTATTTTACTGAAATTGAAGACTGTTGGCTCTAACTGCTCCAGTTTCAGTTGCACCCTTTAAACATTTTCATTGTGTGTTAATTAAGTATAGATACTTTATTGATCCTGTGAGGGAAACTGCAGTGCAACAGCAGCTTAACACAGGCAACACAGCCACAGTGTAACGAATGATACAATAATAATAATAATACAATACATACAATACAATCAGTACAGTGAGGTGTGCACTAAAAGAGTTACAGTCCAGGACACAAAGAACAAACTAGAACAGAACAGTACGCAGAAAAATTATATTCCACATATGATTATATAGATATAAATATAAATGTATTGCACGGGTCCCTGGCATATATTGCACAAAAAACAGTTGTAAATGGGAAAAGAAAAAGAACAGATGTAGCAGTAGATGTGTTCAGTCCAGAAACACACATCTACACATCCCAAGCGAATAGTGTTTTTATTTGTAACTTTATATATGTAAATGCCTCACACTATGCGGTTACAATTAATATACAGTGATCATGCTGGAAAAAATACATTTGTATTCATAAGGGGTTTACAAGAAGCTCAAAGCACTTAACATGCCTGGCGGTTGTAGATGGCAGACCCTTTGCTTTGCTATTGACATTTTTATTCTTAAACTTGTCGTTAAAGGCCAATGATGGTTGACTGAATTGCTTTCTAATGTTGTTCTGTATATGATTGTTCAACCTGAATATAAGAAAAGTCTTGTGTGTTTATAACCTCAGAAATCACAATTGGTTGAAGTCGTATTTAAGCAAGATACACAGCCTTGTGAAAGACAAGGTCTGTGCTGGGGATCCTTTTTATTTTTGATTTCCTGAAGTTTTTTTAATATAAAATTCTCATTTAAATGAGCATGTTTTGCATTGGAAATGTCATGAATAGTATTTGCCTGGAGAATGCTCCAGGGCTGACAAATAACATTCTAAACTTAAAAAACAATGAGAAGAGGTTGTGCATGATATCCGACACTCAAATGTCTTTAGCCTGAGTTCACAAAGTAAGATGCTTTTGTCAATTTTGACTACCTTTGGGTAATGTACAGTTGAATTTTCAGTCAATCATAAATTGGAAATGCATTACAGGGGTAATGTCACCATTATGAGTTTGGTATAGCACAAAACATAAAAAATCATTTAGTAAAGGAAAATGAAGCAAGAAAGGCTGAATTGGAAGATGGGGATTCAGTTCACACACCTTTACTCAGTTTTTCAATTTAAACTCTTAACGGAGGGCATCTGTGAGGAGAGCATTGGTACATTTAATCTAACATTTTTAGAACTTTGATTTGTGTTTAAGTATTGCTTAATTTATAATGTACTGTGTTTGCTGGTGCATAAAATCTAAATAAAGTGGTTTCTTTTTGAATGAGGAGGCTTGCCCTATGGCAAGTACAAATGAGCAAGAAATGTCTGTTTCATCACATACATGAAAATCCTCATTTGTTTAGCTGTCCTAAACTTTGTTTTGCCAATGTTGTTTGGTGTAAGTGTAAAATTGTTTTTCATCTTTGCTTAAATGATTTTGAAGCTTCACATAATTTCTGGTCAGTGTTAGAGCCTTGCTACAGTGAAAGGAAAATTGAGATCGTTATTAAGCATCATAGCACCAAGGGCAAAATGGAGCAGAGGCGAACATCTGGCTCCTCAGCCACATGAATAACCCTGGAGGTGATGGTGATGGTTGTACCACAGACACAGAAGTTTTACAGAATAGGACTGTAATCTAAATGTATAGTTAGTTGTGATTTAAAAACTAGAATTCAGATTTTTATGCTAGTGAGTCAGTTATGATTAATGGCTTCACACAAACTGAGTGATATAACACTTTATTTTCTGTATAATTAGATAAAGAAGAGACAAAAATACAAAAAAACATATTTGTAGTTATGCTCAGTTTTGTTGGTAAGTTTTAAAAAATGGCCTTAAGTGGAGCCTCTGAGTGAATGTGTATAGTGTATATGTGTCTATATTTCTGACGTGTTACAGTCATGCTATTCTAAAAAGATTAGGGAATTTTATTATGGTAACTAAAACATTATCTTATTTGAATTGTACTACACTAGAAAATGTTTAAAAACACATAGGTCCTTTGCAGACCCTTCAAAATGATGCAGTTGCTTTTTGAAAAATTATTGTAATTTTCCTTCCTGTGAAGAAATTCAGCTAATGCTAGTTTCACATGAAATGTACAAGTCACAGGTGTCACAGCTTAATACATACATACCAAGGGGAGAAATAGTTATTCTGAAGTTCAGGCCCTTCACATAGAAATTGGTGACTAGGTAGCTAGGACTGTACTGTGCTGATTTGTTGAGATTTCCAATAAACAACTTGAAAAGACATTCAGTTGCTAAATTATTTGTACAGATATAGTGGTCCTTGTTCTGTGTTGGAATTGGTCTTTTGGCATTGATCACTTCAGTCCCCTTGTTGTAATGATGTATTCATCTCATCATGTGTGCTAATACCTTTTTTTGCGTTGCGCAGACCCAGATCCAGTATCTCAAGCAAGTTCAGCAACCCAGTGCTGCCCAACTGAGATCATCAATGGTGGACCCAGCCATCAACTTATTTTTCCTAAAAATGAAGGGAGAACTGGAACAGACTAAAGACAAACTGGAGCAAGCCCAAAATGAACTGAGTGCCTGGAAATTTACACCTGATAGGTAAACAAACCAAATACTCCCCGGTCAAGACTTTCCTGACACTCCCACTGCAAGAATGCTATGGTGGGAAGGCAGAAATGCTCTATTCACAACAAGACTCAGACTTTAAAGCCAAAAGCCAGATTCTTGTACTGTCCCCGCTTGTAATACCTAACATAAACCTTTGTCAGGTGAACTTCTGTTTCAGCTTCCTTTCCCCTTGGTTCAGAGGCCTGAAGGAATCGGGACTGTTCCGAAGATGCAGTCACATCCGGCTTCAAATTTCTTCCCCTCCTAGAATGTTTCCATACTTGTGGTGTATGGGGAAAATTGAGGGAGGAGGAAGTCTGTGGCATGCTGTATCTGCAGACTGGTTAATGGATGAAAGAACCTAGTTTAATCATGAATTGAACATATAAAATTCCAGTAAAATGTAACAGTGGAATACCCAGCGCTCTAAACGCAGCGCTAATGACTCATAAGACACTGGAAGTCACTTATTAAATAAGACTCTGGGCTTCCTTCAAGTTCTTTGTGAACTGACAAGAATTAATACCTCAGAAGTGACGTTTTAAACAGCTTGTCATTCAGATATGGTTAGATATCCTGTTTTTTGTTTTATTTTTTTATTTTTAAGTTACATCTACAGCAGTGTGCATGAGAAGAGGAATTTGTAAATATCCTGTCGGGCTTTAAACATTCAAATGCTCTATGTCTCAATGGTGGAGTTTTTAAAAGACGCTGTCAAGCTGACTCAAAACAAAACTTGTTGCGGCATTTTAAAAAAAGGCACACTGCTGTTGGTGTATCAAGGTATTGTAAATGAAAAATGTGTAAAATGGTAAATGTCAAATGAGAGGTTTGCTTCAGTTCAGGTGATTGAAATAACCTGAAGAATGGAGTGTTTTGGTTGTGCAGCATAAAACAGTGCCACCTCTCTAGCTGGAAAAAAGCACCTTCTCCATACTGATTTTGATTTTTATCCGCTGTGTATTTTAGTGTTTAAGACATTCACGTTTCACTTCAGTCTGGTATTTCATGAAAATGCACGTACTTTATATGCACTAAAGCATATATGAATGTTTGGTTATGAGATGGAAACTTAGCACTACGTTTGATGTGGAGCTTCTAGGCAATCACATTGACGCCACTTTCTGTTGTAGTAAATGTGTAACAGGAAAAATGTTAATTTTGCATCTTTGACAGTGCATTGTACTTTAATGGTTTGCACTTCGTCACTGCTGGTAAGTTGTTTTTGATGTATATTCATAATGCCATGCAAGTTGTTGTAATCACTCTTTTTAAAGATGCTTAAACATTGCAGTCATGCATACTTAGTTTTCTAATGCAGAATGATTACTTGGAATATTTTATGTGCTTTTAAATCTTGGCAGCATAAATTAATGTTAAGCATTGTTACTGCCTTTTTACAATAGGTGGGGAAAATGTATTTTGTAGCCTATTCCTAAAACTGATAAACTGAAATGATTCAGAGTAGTGGTGCTTAGGAATGTTATCCCCAGTGAAGAAAGCATCAAATCTTGTCCTTATGGATTTAAACCAGAATTTAAATTTGCCTAAATTTGTTTTCTCAGAAGTTTTGGTAAACGTCATATTTTGGGAAAGGAACAATTATATATTTTAAGTTTGTGATTCTGACAACTGATAACATTTTCTTTATATAGATTAAAAGCCTTTCCTCTGCTTAGGTAAAAAAAGGTACATGTTTCTGCCATAAGTTGAGTAGCCTTTTGAAATCGGATCAAAAGTGCCATTTATCACTTTCAGTGCATATCTCTGTTGCACTTTAAATCATGGGTTTTGGCATGTATTTTGAAGTATTTCTTAAATACATAACACCTGCACAATTGATATGTGCAAATTCAACAGAGAGAAGTGGAACGGTAATATGTCATCTGCTTCATTTATGCATTCTGTTCAGTTTTTACATCTCAAAGAAAATGTGATTTGCACAGTGTAATGTTTCTGGTATTATCTAATGTCCTGTATTGTTTTGAAAGATAAAATCTAAAATTCCCCAAACTCACAATAAGTACCAATCTTGTGTTGAGGATGTTAGAGGTATTCAGTATTTAAGATTCAAAAAGTGACCTCTAACTATTCATTTGAAAAAGAGTTGCTGCTGGTTTTTATATTTTCAGTGTTTGTTAGGTGACTCTTGTACATGTCATTGTCCATTGTGTTTCGTGATGCATTAAATACTATGGACCTGCATCTTTGCAAAAATAATTTTTATCCGCAAGCAGCAAATACTTGGAAAATGTTTACTACTTTTAATGGTATTTTTGTGCACTTCATTTTGGCGTTTTAAGAAAAAATGTAAATGTGCAAATGTTTTATTTTAGTGAATCTGCCCCTTTTTAGTCAATGTGCACCCTAGAGTGCTATAGGTTATCTAGCATGGAGAAAGTGTTTCCACAATTTTCTGCTGGTACAAAGCATGCCCAGTGTGTGAAATTAGTGGAATTGTTCCTGCCTCCTTTGTAAGCGGATGCTCACCTGAGGTGATAGCAACTGCATTTGTACCCTGGTACACAGGTTAGAAAAAAATCCCAGTGACTACAACTAAATCTCCCTCTTGAAAACCCTGCACTAATCTTGACAGTTCCAAATCAGTGACTTAAAAAACATGGAAAAGGTAAAATTTAAATAGTACTTAGAATATAAGGTTTCCTTTTAAATCTACTCATGGATATATTTCTTCTCTCAAAGCTTTATGGGGTGTTGTTTAATTAATACCAGTATATATTAGCCTTTTGTCTAAATTTAATTACTTGTCAATTTAGTTTGCTGAAGACCCGAATGTAAAATGTTTCACATAAGAGTTCTGCTGAATTAGATATTTTCAAGATGGGTCTTGCAGAATTAAATGGCGTTCAGTAGCATCTAAACATTGCAAAAGTTTTTCATTTTGCTTCAGATTAACTGGACGATTCCTGCAGCAGATTGGAATGTTCGCTTGTTGTGAGTCAGTGGGTTTTACCGTTTCTTTTGGGATTGCATTTTAGCAGGGCTACTTGACATATGAGCAATGAATTCAATTTAAGGGTGTCCTTGGTTAAATAGACGTGTGATTAAATTACTGTGGATTATTTGTAGTTCTAAAACTAGAATGGAAGGTCTGTTTAAGGGCTGCAAGTTTTAAGTAATCCTGTTTTTTAGCATTGTGGAATTTCAGGTAACCAGCTTTTGTTGCACTGTTTTTATCTGTTTGTTCTGTCAAATCCCATATAGTTTCAGAAACAACCCAAGTTCATTCTGTGATGTTAGGTTCCTTTCCTTTGCAGCCAAACAGGGAAAAAGTTGATGGCGAAATGTCGGATGCTCATTCAGGAGAATCAGGAGTTGGGGAGACAGCTATCGCAGGGACGCATTGCCCAGCTGGAGGCTGAGCTGGCTTTGCAGAAGAAATACAGTGAGGAGCTTAAAAGCAGTCAAGATGGTAAGATTTGGTAGATTTCTGAGTCAGGACAGTTGTGTGGATGTGAAAGCACACTTAAACTATAGCCTTAAGATTTTTTTTTCTTGGTTCTTAAAACTTCAGTTAAAACCATGTCAAAGTTATTCCATTTATGGCCTCAGTAGTCTGTAGGGCTTTTTTGTAAGATATTCTGTACAGTTTCTCATTGAAGTATGTGCTTCTTTTTGTTTATCTTTACAGAGCTGAATGATTTTATTATTCAGCTGGATGAAGAAGTGGAGGGCATGCAGAGCACCATCTTGGTCCTTCAGCAGCAACTTAAAGAGACTCGTCAGCAGTTGTCTCAACAAGGACAACAGCAGTGCCCGGCTCCTGGCACCAGCAGGACTTCCTCTTCAGAGTCTTCAGGCCCGGCAGAGGCAGCTGGTAAAGACTGCGGGAGAGTGGCAAATGGACCAAGCAACGGGAATCCTTCTCCCAGGACATCGGGCCCGAGCCTTTACAGGGAGGTCAGCAGCACTGAGGAAGATTTCCCCTCTTCTCCCAGCAATGAGACAAAACTCTCCAACCACTCAGAAGAGCGCACAAGCAGAGGGGGCAGCAGCGGGTACATGAACCAGTTAAGTGCAGGTTATGAGAGTGTAGACTCCCCCACTGGTAGCGAAACGTCTCTCACGCACCATTCTAATGACACAGACTCCAACAATGACCCTCAGGAGGAGAAGTCAGTCAGTGGGAAAGGTAACAGAACTGCGGGGTCACGCCATGCTCAGAATGGTTTGGACACAACTGTAAATGCACATGGCTCAGTTTTGTAACATCCTTTACACGCCAGCTTTTTATATCTATAATATACGTTGTCATTACATGTTTCGGCTGAGGATACTGTCCAGAAGTGTTGGGACTATTTTTTTTGGCTTCATATGATACCTCTGCCACAATTTACATTTTAATAATTGCATTGCTAAACAAAACCAATAAAATGGATACATGTAGATTTGAGTTATTTTTTTATGATTTAACGTAATAAGAAGCTACATCTGTTTCTGCAATACACGTGTTGATGTTTGTGTAACCAGAACTGGTTCTGAACAGGCCTCCTTGATTTTACTTCTAATGTCATTTATGATGCTGGTGAAATAAACCATTTTGCTTCTGGTTTAATACTGTAAGTGCTCAGTACAGTAATGACACCACAGGTGTGTTTTTAAAAAATAGCATTGACCCATTCAGGACTTCTAGTTTTTGGTGTTGACTTTTTTCTTTTTATGTTTAGTTTTTTGTTCCCCTTCTAGGTGAAATGCTGTTCAAAAGTTGTGTATAGTTTTAAAGTTTCTACAATATGTTGTACCATGTTAATTGCATATTACTCTGACTCCATGAATCCCTTTCCTGTACTGACCAAACATCAATAAAGACTTTTAATATTATGAATGTTTCATTTTTACCAGTTTCATGATTGAGACCAATTCATAGCAGCGGAGTCTTCTTGGATCAAATATTATACAGTACTGTTGTATTTCTAGTATTTGAGACTTATAAATATACACCACTGTTCATAGCCAAAGTGAATGAAGATATTTGTTTTCACTACCATGCTTCATCGTAGGGATGGGGTTGCATGTGTGGTTAGCTGTGTTTGTGCCAGGAGTGCCACTCTGGCTAAGGAGTTCAATTTGTTTTTCTACAGACCAGAGAGTTTTGTCACATTGTCTCATTTGCCATGTGCCTTTTGAGAAACACTTTATCAGGTGTGGCTTTTGTCTAGCCACTTTCCCATAGGGGATAAATCTGTGTAACGTTTCCTCTGGACAAGTTCTTCCAACTCGGCCATGGGACTCTGCAGCTGTCTGTATGGTCGCCTGGTTCTCATTTACTTCTCTGATCAAGTTCCTTCTTGCCTGGTTGCTCAGGAAGAATCAGTGTGGATCTGTATTCTTAGCATTTTCTCAAGATGGACCTGACTGTTTTAGGGAACTTTCATCTCCCTGGATATGTTTATACTCCTCCCCAGGTCAATGCCTCACAATTTCAACCACAGAGTTGTAGAGCTTGGTAGCTCATGGTAGACTTTCATGCACGGTCAAACTGAGGTATCATGTGTAGACAAATACAGTGTTTCTCCTGAAATCATGTTAAGCGGTTCAACTGACCACAAGCAGATTCCATTCAGGTTCTAGATCTCAAGGAAATTAGATGCACCTGAGTTCAACTTCAGGTGTCATAGAGGATGAATATGTATCGGATAAAGGTATTTCAGTGTCTTCTTTTTAATTCCATGTAAAATGTTTTGAGAACTTTCGTTCCACTTTGACATTAAAGAGTACTTTGTGTAAATCAGTGACAAACCATTTATATAATAAATGTATTTCTATTTTAGTTTGCAATATAAATTGTGACAATATTCACTCTCCTTTGATTCTTTCTGAAGGTACTGTTCTGTGTAGCTGGTTTTACATTTTCTCTTAAGTCTCTGTTTACTTTAAGTGCCTGAAGTATTCCCATGGCTGACCACTCTCAATGTATTTCAGAATTCTGAACATTTCCTTAAAATAACCAGTAAAGGAGTGAATTATGCTTTTTAAACCATATGTATGGTGTGCAGGAGGCATGTGGCTTGATGGTTACTGCTGCTACCTCACACACTGGGGTCCTGAGCTTCATTCTGGACTGTGGTACCTTCTGTGTGGAGTTTGCATGCTCTCTGCTTTAAATGTGGATTTCTGTCAGGTGCTCAAGTTTCCTTGAACCTTCTGAACAGATGCTGGATGATTGCTGTCTCTGACTTCTCCCTGTGTGCTTGTGTGTCCAGAAAGGAAATGGCCAGAATTAGTCCCACTCGGGTCCTGTTCTGCATTACATCTTGTCAACGTGAAATTTACAGACATTTAATGTCTGGATGGTATGCATGTAAGACAAGGAATTAAAACAGTCACTCAGTGTTTACGTTTGTGTGTTACTATGAGTAATTTGGATGAATTTTGAGAATTAAATGTACGTGTTATTTTTTATTTCGAAATTAAACATCCTTATTTATAAAGGTTTACTATGTGTTTTTTTCGTCAGCGTGCCCTCGCTGGTTGTGCAACCTTGCTTTTAAGTAATTCTTCCACACCATCGGAGGGCGATCTTTCACAAAATGTTATATTCTACAGCCGTAGGTCTCCTCTTCATTTTCCTGTGCACCTTTGCTATAGATGTAAGGAAAAAGGAATTCTCCAGAGAACCGAGTTCATTCAGAAGAAAGGAGCAAGTTAGGTGCTGAAAGGACCAGAAAGGTGGCATTTAAGTATGATGAGCGCTGAACCTGTTGTTATCGTGTCTGCTTCTAGGACACCTATAGGTATGTAGCATAGCTTACAACCCCTTGACATTAACGCTTTCATTTTTCTTTACGTTCTGTTTTATCCTTATTTTATTCCAATTGTATTTTAAAATACTGCTTCATTTTATAACTGCAATATATACAAATTAAATGAACTAATTTAATCAACTAGTGCCCGTCGTGTTTTAGCTAAGCAGTTATTTCTGTACGTAATGCCAAATCAGAAATGAAATTCCATAGTCTGTGGGTACATGCATTAATTAATAAGCGTAATTATTCTTTTTGATTTAATAGTTGGCAAGCTGACCTGAATTCACCCAGCACCCTTTACAGAAGTTAGGTGTTGCTGTGGCGGAGCAGCTCATTGGGCAATGATGTGCTGCCCAGTGATTTGACGCAGAGATTGGCTGAAAGGCAATAGAACCATGAGACACTGATTCTTTGCAATTGGCTGCTGTGTTTGTGCTGGGGTGACAGTTCCGCTTATGATCACATCAGTTGTTTTAGTCAGTATTGTTAAAGGGAAAGACAATCGATGTTTGTGTCACGGTGCTTGTCTGTTAAAATATTGTTAAAGGGAAAAGAATATCGCGGGAATTTTACTACTCTTCCTAAAACGAATGCGAAGAAATACGATACATGAACATTCATTTTGGCAGATGACGTTTTACAAAATTTAACTTTACTGTTAGACTTTTAAGTTTCAAGCCTGAAGTTTTGTAATAAAATGTTTAACAGTTTAAACGTCAAAAATGAGTTTTAGCTTAGAGGGATGGAACCAAGTGGCAATGCAGTAGTTTAGTAGTTTAAAAGGTGTTATTTAAACTCCTTATTATGGAAATTCAAGAAATATATTCACAGACGTTTAGAATTAACTTCATCTCCCCAGCATAGATATGTAAATGGATGTGCAGTCACAATTTCTCAGCCCCCATCCTCCCATTAAAATGAAACTTATTTATCTTCCTACAGGCTTTCTCTGAAAAGCTTTGTTTTTGGTGTGTTATCAGGATCTTTCAATGGAGCTCTGTCCACTGTGCCCCTGCATGAACTTGGCTCTGTTGTCATCAGAGAGGTCTTGAGAAGAGCTAGTGTGAAACCAGAGGAGGTGTCTGAAGTCATCATGGGACATGTGTTAACAGCAGGTAAAGGTTTATATGGGCTCGTATATCCCTGTAAGTGATTTGTAATTGCTTGTCATTCCATGAGGCTTGAAGAAGTCAGTTTATATCGCCAAAAGTCCAGTTTGCTTTCTCAGTCTTTTTCTTCAGTATCTATTTCTAAAGGGCTATAAGTTGTTACTCACTAACACCTTAAAAACAGTGATGTTTTCTTCTTTAAATACCATTCAGTGTTTAATAGTGCATGTCTGAAAAAGCTACTTTTGCTGTGGCATTCTGCAAGTGTTTCCTCCACATCTTCCCTGAGGGACAGGCACACTAATGCTGACCTTAAAATGAATGAACA